TAGCTCTAATGTTTTAATCCCTAAATTGTTCTACTTCCTTAGACATGGCAATAGTTATTTTTTAGGTAGCAAAAAGTGATTCTATTTCATGCCTGAAAAGACACAAGTGTGTCAGAAACATCTGACAAGCGCCATTGGCAATTAGTACTTTTGATACAGGAGAAGATCTTGACAAAATATTTTTAATATTATCTAACTTGTGTTTCATTTTCCCTTCAGATTACACAGAACTGCTAATCCTCAATGTAAACTGTATCTTACTGTTCTTTAAAAGAAAAGCAAATAAATCTGTCAGAATCCTGAATGTTTGAAGATTGAAATACATACTATAGCTTAAAAATGTGAGAAAATCTGGCATTTCAGAGTTTATTGCATCACGTACTCAAGACAAAAAGGAAAAATGTACTAATACTTATGGAAGGGCAACGGTAAAAGTTACCTCCTGGGCTGCAGCTGCAATTTGTGAAATAGCTGGCAGTTGGCAGAAAAGTACAATGATAATCTTGAAAATGTTAATTTTTTTTTAAATGTAAAATGTAATTTTTTAAAAAAATGTAAATGATAATTTTTTTTAATGTAATCTAGGAAGACATTTTCTCTGGAGAATCAGCCAGGTTGTATGTCACTTACCTGTATGTAAGGTTTGAACAAGGCAACATCTAGTGCTTTAACTGATATTAAAGAGGGCATTGTACACCCCTGGGCCTTGTGTTAATTCTTGAATTGTTTCACTTGGAGCTAGTGAATTCCATCATACATAGAGGAGTGCAAAATGCTTTGCGGGAGGGAGTGCCATGTAGTGTAAGTCTCACAAGTCAGTTCATCCTCCTGTTTCTGAACTGGGGATCGATGAATTTCAGCCTTGCTTGGGTGGGATCAGCTGCCTGTCTGTATGTGCTTGAAGAATGTATGTGGAAAAGCTGCTGCCATCTCAGCAAAAAATAAGCGAGCTTAGGTTCCTGCAGTTATGCAAGTGGTGAATGCAACTTTTTTTTTAATGTTATTAGAGTAATACTTGGTCCAAGTAACATGTGAGCCTGTAGATAGGGGGTGTAGTCCTGCTCTGATACCACTACCAGCTTGCCCTCTGCAAAGAAAAATCAAACCCTCTCTTGAGTCTTAGTAAGCTTTGGAGAGACCAGCTGAAAACTGAAGACTTGATCTCAAAAGGAAGAGATCCTTTGGAAGTGTCTTAAAGCAGCCAAATTCGCATGAAGTTTGAGAGGCTAGACAATCGCCATGGCTGCCTGCCATCCCCTGTGAATCTATGATTCTGCCCATTGCTGAGGATTTTGCAGCATGAGCTTGGGTGAGAAGGTCTGCCTCTGAATCAGAGCAGCTTGGTAACAGCTGTGGTTAGCCTGAGACAAGTGGAGAAAGAAAATGTATTGCAGAGTGATAAGAAAGGTCATGCTCAGAGCCAGGTATAAGTGCTCTTCAAGTACAGCTTTTCTTCACTTTCTGCCTAATGTCAGCATGGGGTTTGGGAGTCCTTAAGCATGGTTACTCCATCTCCAGTTCCTGTTGATGTGGGCTCCAGTGTGTTCCCTGGATAGCTGTAAATAAACCCTATGACCTTCTGAATCACGGTGACATGTCAGGCTGAGCAAACTTCAATCTGAACATCACGGGGGGAAAACATGGACTTTAGGTGAACCCTGAGGAGAAACGCAGCTAAACACTATTTCAGGGGCAGAGTAGGAATTCTTTGGCTCCCCATGGAGCAAGACACAAGGACCTGGATGCTGCTGAAGCTAAGGAAGCATGACAATTTTGCCTATAACAGGTGCTGCTTGCATTATGAAATGGGGTAATGAAGCCCTCTTCAGTTCCTTTGTGTCCCTTAGCCTATAGAACTGCTCCCTGTGTAGTAGCAAATTCTGATACTGCCTCTGCTTTGTTGGGCAAGAAATGGCTTTTGCTTGCCTAGGAGCAGGCATGTGCTGCTGCCAGCGAGTTAAGCCTTCACCGTCTTCCCAAATTAGAAGCTTTGTAAGATTCCTAAGAAAACATGGAACCTGGTATTTCTTTATTTGTGGTTTTGGAAAACGATGGCTTAAATCTTGCTGCTCTTAGTGTGCCTTACTAATGATCTGAGCACCCATCAATCACAAATGGAAGCAGGAACATGTCTTCCCAGATGAAAGTGCTAATAAATCATAGGACAAGCTGCTTGCTTGTTTGACCTTGCATCACAGTGCAAGTTCAAAACAGATTTGGGATCACTGAGTTTACTCCCCTGCGCTGAGAAAACTTCTTGCTCTGCTGCTGGGTAGCAGGCAGAGGAAGCACAGGCAGGAGAGGACAGTTAAGGCCCTGAAGTCTTACAGGCAGAAGCAAAAATGAGAGCAGGCGCTTAAATTTGAGCCTGCAGTGGGTGTTCTGAGTTTCACAGGAAACCTGGAGAATGGCGGAGCTGCCAGATTTCTGCGCAAGAAAACAAGTCCTACGTGCCTGGCGCACAGGGGAAAGAATCACTGTAATAGACTATAAGCTGGATGATACAAATTTGGTGGTGTTGAAACTGGAAATAATTTCATACATCAACTCGGGTTACGATAGGTTGGATTACTATGCTGGTAGTTATGGAAGCAGCTATTTTTTGTGCTACTGTATCCTCAGTTTCTACAGCTGTCCATTTACTTCATTCCCAAAAATGGGAAACTGTAGAGCAACAAGTCAGAAAAAAAAGGGTCATATTTTCAGTGGCACAGAGCACGTTTTGCTGCTTGCTGTACTTGTATGGTACCCAGAATATCACAGCAGAACTAAGGAGCTTGGAAGAGGCCATACGTTGCACTCCATATCCTGTTTGAAGGTCTAATTGCTGGGTCCTCCTCCCTGCTAGCTCGTGCCTTCATTCGCTAGTGCTTTTCGCTGAAGGCTAACTCTACTGCTGCTGTCTTCCCTGGGACATAGCTTTTATGTCACTCACTAGCTCATTTCAAGGCAGAATGCTAAACTGGTGGTGTTTCTGCTGCCTTCCCTGCACTAGCGGTAGTGTCTTTCCCTGGGCTGCTCTGCAAGGCTTCTGGAGGCTTCTGGTCAGCCACCTTCCTGGAAGCTAGACCTGGTCCTTCCTCTAGACTAGCTGTGGTGTCATCAAGCATAAAGCAGAACTGTCCACCATGGTCCTGAGAGGAAGTCAAGGACAAACAAAACCAGACACATTACCTCAACTGTGTTCATGCAATTATGGCTCTGGTGAAAGTAAAACTCAAGCGTCCCTGGGAAAAAATGGCTATGGAATGTCTTTTTTATGTAAGTCATCTGAAGCAAGACAGTCCTGTTGTCATCCTCAAGGCACTGTACTGAGCTTGGTTTGCCCTTGCTGTTTTGATCCAGCGGTTAAGGAAAAAAAGAAACAAGGGTGCTTACTGAACTGAGAACAAGTAGCATTATTTTAGTGCTGTCTAGGCTTAAGTCAGTTGTGCAGGAGCCTCAGCCCTCCCCAGAGGCACGATTACCTTCTGTTCCTCCCCTCAACTCAGACAAAGTGACCTACTGATAGAGCAAAGGTTCCTGCTGGTCACATTTGTACAGCTCACTGATGAGCTCATTCAAGTATCATTTGGAAAGATACTTTACCTACAGGATTTTATCCCTGCTGAGACAAAAAGAAAGGAAAAGAGAAACTGTAAGTGAAACTTGCAGGGGATTGCTATTCTGTAGGTACCTGAACAGGAACTACCTTTGAGGTACAAAAACCATGGTACCAGCTGTCTGTCTTTATAAAATGAAACCTGTAACACTTGTAAGAGCTAGAGATGTTTTCTAAGACGAACAGTTTCCAGATATTAGGCTTCCAACATGTGTACTGTCATGTACCAGCTATTTCCAGGAAGAAAAAGAGTTCTCTTCATGACACTTTTGCTTCAAAGCAGTAGGAAAAGCGTAAGCGCTGTCCCAAGCCAGATGGTAGAACAAGACTAAACTACCACACTAGAGGTTAAATCTGGACCTGTCTTCTCAGCATATTTTCTGAAAGAAGCTCTTTTGCTAAGATTTTTCTGTGAATAGCTGTCTAAAAAGAAGAGGGTGGTGTCTTTAAACCAACATCTGGTCTAAGAAAAGAGGCAATGAACCATTTTGTAATTATATTGGAAATGCTTCATCTACAATAATTAGAACATTCATACAGAATTTTCAAGAGTCAGCTTAAAATAATGCACACAATACATTAATCTCAGAACATCCTATATGCATCAGTTGGTTGTATTCACTGACAGCAAGTTTCTCTCTTATGCAGGTTCACACATGCCCACCAACAGGGCTGGCACTGCTTTCCATGGCACACCGCTGAGGGGTGTGATATCTCAGTAACCAAGGTGGAAGTCAAGCTTCAAAAGCCAGCAGGCTGACAGATTCCAAACCACGTGTGTGCTGATAAAGCCTGGAGGCTTTTACTCATGCGTGGTAGCAAAGGAAGCTCCTGCAGCAGCCAAGCAACCCCTGGCTCTACACGCAGTGTTGTGCGGGGCAGCAGACAAACAGCAGCCAGCGAGGAACCAAAGCAAGCTCTGCAGCCAGCTCCAGGGTCAGGACCAAAGCTGGCAAAGGAAGGGACTATTTGACCTTAAGTGCAGTAGCTTCAAGAGAGCTTGGGGACCACATGACTTTAACGGGCCTGTGAAGATTGACCACATCCTTGTCAGCTTCACCTACTACATGGTTGCATTAGAGCCAGTCCCTATTTAACAAACACCAGTACAAGCCCAAAACAGTAAAATGTCATCCTAATTGGTACAAAACTTAACTATACCTTACCATGAATTATAAGTACTTGTGCATACTTTATTAACAGAGTCTAAGATCTAGAATTCCTAAAAAGAACACCACAGAATCTTAGTTTAAGCCTGGGCAATTGCACACACACAGGAATTACAAGGCTCGGAATAAAAGACAAGCAGGTGAGGGAGTTTTCTTGACCAAGAGGCAGGGGTGAAGTGCAATCAACTTCATTTGAGCTTGCATCCTGGAGCTTTATACAAATTGCAAAGTCAGTTTAATTATTTACTTTTATTTCTTTATGCTTTTAGAAACAACTATGGCTGGATAGAACAACAAATAGCAGGAAGTGAGGGTGAACTGCTTGTAGTCCTTCACTCATCCACTAATGCATAAAAAACAAGCATCACAAGTTATCCCCTGGCCCGTTTATGACGTCTGACATTGAACACCGCCTCTAGGGTGATGCTCATCATCTTCATAGACTTCTCCATTATAGTGGTGTTTTCTTTTTTGAGATGGATCAAAGTCCACTAAATCCACTTGTTCCATTTCCTCAGTTTCTTCTATTTCCTGCCTTGTAGGTAGCAGTTTTTCAAGTAAAGACAGCTTATCTGAGGAGAGGAAGCCACTCTCTGGAAAGTTCACCTGAAATCACCAAGAACTGGTGTTACTCAAGTCTGCCTAAACTGGCCTTTTTCCATCCCACTACACGTCAAATATCTGCCCAAGTCAGCTTTTATCATCACAGATGACTTAAACCCACTGCTTTAAAAAAAGCGCCAAAATCCAAAACACAACATAAGATTATTTTTTAATGTTTGCAAAAAGTTAGTGTCTAACTCTGGCAACTTAACCAATCACATCTTATCCGACATTACTTTGCCTGAGGCTGCCCTCTGGAATCACCCTAGAAGCAAAGTACAGGATATATCAACACTAGCGATATAGTTGCATCTCTTCTAAAACCATAGCAGACAAAGCCTGTTCCCCAGCTCCCAGCATTAACTTCTCTCCAGAGAAGGAATCAGCATTTTCCAGCCTACTCCTTTGCTCCAGCACAGGGGAAGTTACTAATCCATCCTTCCTATGGGATGATAGAAACTAAAGAACATGCCAAGCAAATGGAAATTCAGAAGGTATCCGAAGAAATTCTGGTACTTAATGTGCTTTCAGCACAGACTGTTCCAAAGTTTTCTCTTTCTTCTGAACTGTAATTCTGTTTGACCTCTCACCATTGTCAAAACCAAATACCAAGCCAGGATATCTGATAATTGGTATAACTTCTTGACTGAGGTGGCGCTTAGAGGTTAAGTTTTGGATGGACATTCAGTGCTGAACTGTGCCGTGGTAGTGCCATTCACTTACCCTGAATTCTATGATCAGACGTCCTTTTTCATATGGTCTACGATAAATTGGCATACCTTCATTCAACACACACTTAATAGCCCCATGCTTGACAACCTGGCCTGGGAAGGAAAAAAAAAAAAAAAAAAAAAAAAAAAGGAGACCCAAAAAAGGAAGGAAGGGTTTAGTTTTTAACTCCCTTCAATATTTATGTAACTTCTACACTGCAGTTAGACACATAGTAGTCTAATAGGGACTTACTGCCTGGTAACTTGTGAGTAGAAAAGCAGGTTGACATCTACGTTACATTCTTGTAACCTTGTTATGCTTCCCACAGGAAGCATACTTACAAATTTATTAAGGGATCCATCAGTTCCAAGGCTGAAAAAGTGGTTTTCAGAGACCCACAGCCTCCAGTTCTCATGAGGTATCCTCGGGATACAAGTATGTCCATGAGGTAAGGTCTGTTACTATATTGCGCAAGGAGAAAGTTACTGCTGACTGCTATATAAAAACCATTTTTTGTTTAAAGATTCGTACTTGCAAAGACTAGGAAAAAAAAAAGCTTGATACGAGCACACATCCCTTGTACATCAAGATGGGATGCTTCTGTTCCTTTAAATTTCCAGCTTACATTCACTGCATGCTTGGACTTCTAGCAGAAAGCAAACCAACACTTACCAGGATGGGAGGTGATAATAATAGTTCGATTATCCAGCGTTGTGATTGGCTTTCGAAAGCCACATAATGCTTCAACCAGTTGAATATCCATAGACATAAGAAGGTCTTCATCTCGTCTAAGACAGAACCAATCAAAAACAGTCAAGAGTGGGACAAGCATTAAAAAGATCATACCAAACTTCAGTATTTAACTTGGCAAGGACAATAAGGCCATGATTTTAATAGAAGTTCAGGCAACTGAATAAAGAACACTGAATATTGATGCAGCACCTCAAGCCAGCAATTACAGGAACGATACTCCCACTGAGAGCTGCTACTGATCATTCAAAGTGTAGAAGCATTTATTGAAAAGAAATAAATACAGTATGGCTCACTTGCATCCAGTTTCACTTCACTCCCTCCCAATTCTAGGAGTAAGTTCTCTCTCAGCCTCCTAAACACTGCAGCTGGGACAATTAATCCCTTCCTTTATGTCAATTAATACATCCTCAACTGCATCAGCTAGCTCCACGTTATTCTGTTACACTTGCTTTCTGAAGATCTGGTACTAGTGAATTTGAACAGGTGATGGCCACCCTGGGTTATGATGAAAGCACCTTCTAGAAAGCACCAAGAAATATCTGGAAGAGTTAATGTCGTTGTTTTAATTGTCTATTCTGACTTCAGCATGGCAGGGCTATCAATGTCTGCATGTTGAAGGGCTATGAAATCCTCCAGCCTACTCGAAGAACTTTGTCATTTCACCCACCCTGTTTTAAAGGTCTCTGGAAGAAGACTTGCCCAAAAATTTAATTTTAGACTCTTGGCGGGAGGGGGGAACATTCCCCTGGTCCCAGAGCAGCAGGACCTCAGCATAACCCCACAAGACCAGTAACATCAAGGGTTATCTAAGGACACTAAAACTGAAGACAGTGCACAGAAAGATGGACAAAAATAAGCCAGCAGAGTTGTGACTTCAAGTCCCAGATAACCATGCAAACAGTCTGGCCCAGACTGTCCCTTTGGCATAGCCGATTCAGTATCTGGTTTCACTGGAAGTTAAGAAAAATCAGCTGAGTAAGCTTATCCAAAGCAAACAGAACTGATTCTTAACCTGTGAGCTCAGTGTTCTTTGGCACAGAGTTCTGGCACCAACTTCCAGAGCTCAGCACTGTACAGGACAGTCAGGCAGACCAGCTGCAGGTTTCCCAAGAACCTCTAACTCACTGTTCCTCTACACAAATACAATGTCAGTGGTTGCTGTCGAGACAAATGCTTTCTCTAAATCCACTGACTCCCTCGTTACTGCTCTGAAGCAGTGAGACACAAAGCTGCAAGATAAGCAGCGTTGCTTTTCATCACAGCAAAATGTACTGGACAGACTCATTTCACAAACAGTAACATGAGACAAGGAGGCTTGCAACACCAAGCAGTACTGCACGGGAACACAAAATACTTTTGTGAGACGTGGTCAATGCTACTTGAGTCACTTTTGCTTTCACAAGAAAGCACAGATGGGACGGATGACCCTGCCCAGTGCACTTCGGCAGGAAATGAAGTGTGGGAAACCACCGTTGGTCAGAACGGTGCATGCTATACTCAGTTAAGTTTGTCATAAATAAGATCTCCGAGCAAAAGTGAACACACTGGAAGCTTTCTGTGCTTTGAAGCCAAGTGGGCAATAAACAGTTGCCTACACTAAATGGTAATTTTCTGAGGGAAGTGATGGAATGCTATCCTAGAAAAAGCAAGGAAATAATCACAAATATTCACAATTATTAAACACAATCTCAGTATTTTAAGTATTAATAATAGTAACTGTTTTGTTTGCCTTCCATCCCCTTCTACTGCCAAAGCTCATTTACAAATACCTCATGCTACTAGGAGACAAATGGCCGTGACTAGTTGTACCAAAATTCCTGCACACCTCAGTCCTCCCGCGGCCACCTAAACAAACCCATAAGTATGTTCGAGCCACATGATCCTATCTACTGAGATTTCCCGTAGATAAAAGGTGAGTGGTATCCATGGAAGCACGTAGACAAGCATCTCAGGAGTTAACATAAAGGACTTGCAAAGTTCTTACCTTGTAAACACAGAGTGGTCTTTTTGATCCAAGACAATAATAATGTCACCTGGCTCTAGTCCTGGCTCTTGGTCCCCTTCACCATGGAATGTTATTTTCTGACCATCCTTCATTCCTATTGCAGAAAACAAACAAACATTTCTCATCTTTGATGTGAAAAAGCAGTGAAAAACAGTGAAAAGTGGCAATAAGAAATATTTGTATAGGCACAAGCTGGTACCAGGACATGTCCAGATCTTTAAATTAGAACATCAGGACCTTCCCTTGAAGCACTTTTTTTTTTTAATCCACTCACATGTCCAACAGATTTTAGTGGTGCCAACCTGAACTATGACTCAAGCTCATTAAACTTAATTTCAGTGCAAAACAGCCGCCTGCCAACATAAAGTCTTCAAGGGAAACGTTATCAAAACAGCTTTCATTATATGCACAAGTACTAAAGAGAAAATGGAAACACGGTACAAAATACATTTTGAGAGCAAGTCACCAATTGGCTTCTTCAGTTTTATAAATATATCTGGCAGAGCTACTTATGAAACATGATCTCAGTGCCTGCCGAGTGTAAGAAGCACTCTCCCTAGGACGGCAACCGTCATGTAAGAAAGCTGTTTCACCCACACAGAAGTCTATCTACCACAAATTCTAGTGGCCTCACGCTAGCTCACAGTCTGCCCTTCTGTAAGGAAGGAAAATGAACACTTCTTAGGGATTTCCCTGTTTAAAATGTCAGTAATATATCCCTACTAGCCCTCACATATAATGTTACTGCAAGATTTTCCCTGTTAAAAACAAATCCAGGCATTGCATAAAGTATGCTTACACATGCAACAGTTGCAGGTGACAATCAGGTGCAAGTCTGTAGAAGCCATGTGCTTGTCAGCTTGCTCTGTCTTACAAGCTGCACTACTCCAGAGATTTCTCCCACCAGCCTTTGAGCAGCCTCCTCAACAGAGATCCATTTGTCACTCAACACTGTCACGTTCTCCCATCACTGTGACAAATCCTTGTGCGCAGTTGCATCTTGCCAGGCAAAAAGTACCTGCACTGAGCAGCACTGTCAGGGTTGCGTAGCACACAGAGCTCTAAGCACGAGAGGCTTAGCACTGTCTCTGCACCCTGTTACTATAGCAGACCTGGTTCCCCTTCACACTGAAGCACAGTAGAAGTGATCGGAGTCTGCAGCGTTGCCCTACAGACAGCGAATACTCATTAGGTAAGCTGAGCCAACAACTGCTGAGTTTTACTTTAATCTGTCCAGCTACCCGATCAATGCTCACGCTTACAAGGTTGCTCAAAAATAATTCACCACTTACCGTACTGCAGGTTTCAGAATTCATTCTTAGTTAAGTGCACAGGTATTAGATGCAAACACACAAGCAATCAACCTTCCTTAAAAAAAGATCTCCTACATTTTAAAGGCAGCAACAGGCAATGTTACTGTATATGTATTCCGCGGTGTTACTCACCAGATCAACACCATGCATTTGCTAAAGCTTCTGCTTTAGTGCTGCAAAGTCAGTCAGTACACCCGAGTTCAACACCTCATCTCAGTAAGACACCTCACCTTTGTCAATGTGAACTTCTAGTATCTTCTTCTCTCTAACAATTTTTCTGCCGGTGCAGCTCTTACACCGGTCCTTGGGGCTGATACGCTCCCCGTGCCCCTGACACTCCATACACACGGACTGGATTTGTTGCACCATTCCTGGCCCGATCTGGTGAATTCTGATCTGCATGCCTGTTCCTCTGCAATTAGGACAGCATTCTACTGCACCTTTCTTACCACCACGACCTGAGAAGCATAAAAATTGGACACCGATGGTTATGCACTGCCAGAAAAAGCCTCGAAAGCTTTAGAAGCAGCTTGTGTTTAGTCTCAGTTTCACAGTTACCTTCACATTTGTCACAGATAACATTCTTCTGCAGTGCAAGTTTCCTCGTTGCACCATTGTACATATCTTCCAAACTTACTGACAACTGATGGACCACATTTTTGCCTGTAAAAGAAAAAGGTTATTTACTCAAGTTCGAAAGCTTGGTCTCCAATTAACACTAAACTTCCCATATTTAAAGCTATACGCTTTATCTTGTCTTGCTGGTATTGGTCCACAGCCCCTTCCTATCTGATGCCAAATTAGGCAACAATTCTTTGTCAGTAACACCTCTCTGTTAGAACAAGTCACAGACTCCTCTGTGAAAGCACAAACAATAACAGAAACAAAATATGTGGAACCTTAGACATTTAAGGTTCATAACACAGAACTTCAGCTTTAACAAACTGACTGAATGTGTCTCCTGCAAGGACATGGGACACACTGTCCAGAGTCAGCAAAGTACTTTCTTCCTCTCACCAGGGCACTTTCTGGAAACTAAATTGAGTAATAAAATTTTTATGCTCAGGAATTAACTAGAACTTTAGCTACCGCAGGCTTAATTTTTGAAGCATATCAAGTTCTGGCTTACTAGGAATACTTTTGATGCAACACTAACATTTTGATACAACCCCTTTTTTCTTCCCTATGTCAGCAGGTCTACAATAAGAAGTGATGGGGGCAGCACCACTCTTAATCAGTTATAACTAACACTAAAGTCTTTGAGAGTGTGATTAATCTGGACCTTAATTTCTGAGCAGCATTTTACTGCAGCTTCAACTCAATTCCACTGAACAGCACAGGAGATGAAAAAGGTTTCACAGAATATTTAGATATTGTTACTTGCAGTTAAAGACCAAGTTCACATTTGGACACCACATTTATGGTAACTTAGTTAAAAAATCATTTTAAGGTATGATACCATTCTGCTTCCTATTCAGCCAAGTAGCAGCTGGGGTTACGCTCCGCTCTTCAAACATGAAATCTGGTTAGCTATTAACATGAGACAATGCACAAGAGACCAAATACCACCGTATGAAGCAAATGCCCTCCCCTGTGCGTTTCAGATGTTAAGGACTAGGAAAAAGATCTCCGATTTTGAGATCAAGCCTGTAACTTCATTTTAACGCTATTTAAAGTTTTACAAATCTACGGCATTCTCTTCAGAGACTTTGATCCTGTCTACCACAGCGATCATGCTGTAAAGTCTGGGAAAGTGTCGGAAGACAGCACGGTACCTCGTCTCTCTCTCTGCATCCTCCCACCGCCGCCAAAGAACATATCGAATATGTCCATGGGTGACCCGAAGCCACCACCAGAGCCACCCTCTTTGATGGCCTGCTCGCCTCCTTTGTCATACAGGTCCCTCTTCTTTGGGTCTGACAGTACTTCATAAGCTTGGGAAATCTGCTTAAACTGCGAGAGACATACATCGTGCCTCAGACACACGGGCCCTGAAACCCCGAACGGCACCCTCGCAGCC